ACACAGAACCAGAGAGAAGAGTTGGTGAAAAATAGGAAGAAAGACAGCAGGGCCTTGATGTACATTTTTGGTGCAATTGATCCAGCAGTCTATGAGAAGATTGCACATGTCTCTACATCTAAGGAGGCATGGGATGTGTTGATCAACAGCTATATTGGAAGAGAGAAAGTGAAGAAGGTACGGTTGCAGACCTTGAGGAGGCAGTTTGAACTTTTGCAGATGGAAAGAAAAGAAAGTATCTCTGATTATTTCTCACGTACTTTGTCCTTGGCTAATCAGATGAAAGCCAATGGTGAGGATATGAAAGAGCTACTGATTGTGGAGAAAATACTTCGAACCTTGACAGACAGGTTTGAAGGCAAAGTTACAGCTATTGAGGAGACACGTGACCTTAGTACTTTGACAGTTGATGAGTTGCAAGGTTCACTGCAAGCTTATGAGCAAAGATTAAATGAGAAGTCAGAGATTGGGATTGAAGAAGCATTGAAGGCCCAAGTGAACGTGAAGAAGGAAAAGAATGACTCTAAGAATGAGGAGTCCTGCAATGAAGCAAGATCAAATGGCAAGAATCATAACTCAAATTACAGAAGGGTACAGAATAGATTTGAAAACAGAAGAGGAAGAGGCAGAGGAAGAGGAAGAAGCAACAATTGGAGCCAAGCCCGTGATAGCAACAGTTGGAGTCAAGCTCGTGATAAATCTAATGTTCAGTGTTTTAACTGCCAGAAATATGGCCATTACAAAAATGAATGCAATTCTCAGAGGTTTGAAAATAAGGGGCATCATGCTAAGTTTGCAGAAAATGATAAAGGCAATGAAGAAACTTTGTTGCTGGCTTTTAATGCTGTAAATGATGATGAGAAAAACAAGTGGCTGTTGGATACTGGATGCAGTAATCATATGTGTGGGCATAAGGATTTGTTCAGTGATTTGAATGAGTCTGTGCAGTCTGTGATCACATTTGGTGATCAAACAAAGATTCCAGCCAAAGGAAAAGGGAGAATC